ATATGAATACCTGCTTAGCAAACGGACTGTTGACGTATTGATAATAACGGAGTGTTCTTTCATGGACTCTGCAAATATCAGAGGTGTGTTCTGGAATGTGACAGTAGGGAGGCTGGTTGCATGTTTGTTTGATTTTCTATCCATTTCTTGAACAGCAACGGCGACACCGGTTCGCGTGTACGCGCTGCGTAGTAATTGGTCCTTGGAAACTGTAGTGGAGGAAGGATTTGGCATGTTTTGATTGATGAGTACTTGTTGATTTGACTTCGTGTGGCAGTTTTCTTGGTAGAAGGCTTTACGTTATCCCCTGTGTATTTGACGCGCCCTTCCATGTACCATCGGTCAGGGATAAACCCCTTCTCTCTGTTTTCGATGCTGTTGGCAATTATCATGGGGAGGGAGAATAGGTTGTGTCATGACAATTGCCACAGCATCACGAAAAAATGAATGCTTTGTTTATTTTTATCATGTCCGATTTGCAACGTTCGGGATTTGATTTCGTGAATAGGAATACAAGTTATTATACGATTTTCTTTGGTGTGCTTTCCGTACCCAAATGTCACAGGATGCGTTGTCAAGTAGAGGGTTGATCCCTTAACGCCTGGTGTTCGGAGCAGGGGGGCCGTAACCAGACTACATTGGTATGGAATACAGGAAGGAATTCTATTGCTCTGTTGTTGCAGGATGTATTTGTCAAGTAGAGCGTTAATCGCTTAACGTCTGGTGTTCGGAGTAGGGGGGCCGTAACCAGACAGTATTGGTAGTAGGGTATGCAGGCAGGAAAATTGTTACTCTGTTGGAAATCGAACGGAGGTTATATGCGTGGGGTGGCTAGTACCAGAGGAGGGGGGGGGGGCTGTATTGTGGCAATCCCCGACTCCAACTTGCGTCACGCTGTCAACCACGCAGGCAGCATGTATGTGTAGCGATGTCACATGAGGACATTTCTTTTCTGAGGCAGGTTTGGCGTTCGATATTGTCGTGGTCCTCTGTATTGGTTTGTATCTTCATGGCATTCTTTTGGACATCGGATTCAAGACTGACCGATATAAAATACTTGCTGCAGCAGTGTTTTGGGTTTTATGGTCGGTTGGATTTTCATGATGTTCGTTGAGTATTGAAATCAAGACCGGCCGATAGGAAGTACTTTATTCAGTGTTTTTGGTCTAATGCTCGGTTGGATTTTCTTGATGTTCGTTGAATGTTGAGTTGAAGACTGGCCAATAGGAAATACTTTGAAGTGGTCTTGTTGGTTCAATGGTCTTCGTGTTGTTTTGAGGATGATGTACGGAGTAGTAGAAGAAGAGCATTTGTTTTTGCAGTCATGATAGTTTAATATTGGGGATTTCGAATTCATGAGCAACCGATGGATTCTTGGTGGTGTTCCTGGCTTGATAGTTTGCAACCGATGGGAATGTCAATCAGTGTATCTGGTTTGATTGTTTTTCGTGAATGTTTTGATCATTGGAGATTCTGGATACAATGGAGACCGACGGAGATCCTGGTGGGTATTTCCGGTTTAATGGTTTGCGACCAATGGAAATTCAAACTAGTTTTTCTGGTTTAATGGTTTATTTTTGCTGCAAGAGAAATAGGAGGAGATACGACTACTCTTCTTGCACATTGACATTGATTTCTGGAGTGTTCGGGATGGGTTTTGCGTGATACGTAAGTAAGTCCGGGAGTAATCTTGACAATGCAGTGAGCAGGGGGGCTGTTGGATGTACAGTAGCGCCTACGGTTTAAGAGAGGGTCGGTACAAGCCAATTTCACTCTCTTAAATCCGGCTTTCTGTTATATCGTGTTGGGTACGGTATAAGAGAGAATTCTCTGAAACAGTATCTCACTATAAGAAAGAGAATATTCTCTTATATCGTAGACAAAACTAAAGGTCGTGAAACAGGGACTCTCGCGCACTCACTCCACTCGAATGCCAAAATAGGTCCTGAAGAGAGCGTACCATGCATGTCACTTGCGCAGCTAGCGTTACCACATCGGGCTACCTCCAAACACCGTTCATTCTCTTGGTTGGCAAGCACGTGGACCCAAGTACAGCTGTACGTGGTACACTTTTGGTGGATCTGCGTTCGGAAAATAAATCATCGTTGTGTGATGCGATGCACATTTTGCACGTGGACACGTAAAAGGTTTTTGGTTGAGTTGTTTTATAGCTGTGTTTCATAGTCGCACCTCTTCTAGAAGGACATCACGAGGCAACGAATGCACCAGCACTCAAGAACGACGCACCCGTTTACACAATGCACCCCTTCCTCCCACCGTACCCTCAACATAACACCCTCATACCTCTCATCCCATCAATTTAAACCCCTGAGAAAAACACAAGTCAACGAAAAAAAAAGAGCTTCACAATATCAAAACATCACTCGCCGTACAAATAACACAAACCCAAGAAACCAACGATTTTATTATTAGCATCGACCGCGCTAACCGGCTGACCAATGAAAAGACGTCAGTCTCAGTGCGGTGATGTGTGTGTTTGTTATTAGCATCGACCGCGCTAACCGGCTGGTAAAAATCAAGGTGTGTGTGTGTCCACGTTGTTTCCATATTGTTCGATTTAAGAGAAAAATCCCAGCTGCAATAATAGGAAATTTCATCCATCCAGTACCTCCTTCTGTCTCAATCTCTCCGTACCAATCCAGCACTTGACTCGG